AAGGGTGTCCAGTGTTGTAGGGACAGCTAAATCATTTGGAACTCCAGAATGCTGATCAGTAGATGAGATTCCTCTGTAGACCAAGCCCCCAGCACCTGCAACGTGTCTAGGAATCCCAGCCCTATAGACAGTGGGAGGAAGGATCTCCCCCAACTCCAGAGCCCAATTCCGGAGCCAGCAGCCAGAGAAAACTTGGTCTTCGTGGTCAGGATTTCTCCAAGGACTGAACCAATTGGTCCCCAATATTGCGTTGTAGGGACCTGAGGTGGAACGGAGCAAGTGGCACTGCCTCAAAGAAGGCCACCGTGAGGCCCAACCCAACACTCTCCTGCAGAATGGCAGCTTTAGACGGCTCCTGGGCCGTAGAGTCTGAAAACAAAGAGTCAGAAGTCTTTCCTGAGACGGAAAAACGTGGCTTGGGGTTGTGTCTAGAACGAGACACGAAGGGACATGCCTGAAGGTTTGGGGGATTTAGGGGGTCCAGGGTTTGTAATTGGACCTCAGAAGGGGGGAGGGGTATTGGCCTCAGAAGGGGGGGGGGTATTGGCCTCAGAAGGGGGAGGGGTATTGGCCTCAGAAGGGGGAGGGGTATTCCCAGTTTGTGGTTTAAAGTTGTTTTTTTAGCTGGGACTAATAAGTATTTTTACCCCCCGTGGCATCCATTATGGGGGGTATCCAAAGAGCCATGAAAAGGCACGAGTAGGCAGTGTTTATTTTCTACATTGCTGATCTGCGGCCCCCACAACTATGAGGGGGGTGATTTCCGCTCATCCTCATAGTTACAGCCGACGTGTGACAATGAAACTGTCCCAGGTCGGCTCTATTGATCGGGGAGAGAGCGGTGCCGGTCAGCCACGGCTCCCCGCAGAGATTCCCCCTCTCTGATCCTCCAGCGTGACTGGAGGGATGGACGGAAGAGGGGGCGGGCACAGCGGGTTCTGCCTCTAGATAGGCAGAGCCCGCTATCAATCAGCCAGCGGGGTGGATATCGACAGTATTGTTGGGATCCGTCCCGGCTGCGGCACTCTCAGCATATAGCGGGCAATAGCCGGCTACATGCGGAGTTTTGTGACACGGGAGGATACAGCATATGTCCCCCCCAAGACCCTGAGAACTATGGCCAAAAAAAAATGTTGCCCCCCATAGTTCTCCTTTAATCCATCTTCTGGAGGTCCGATAGGCTGACATTAGCGTTAGAACGGGCTGCACAGCATGGATGTCAATGGGATCCGAAACACCGGTGCCAGCTCAGCAAGGAGGGATTGCCCCGCATGGGGACGACGAGCCACCTCGTGATAAATGTACACTGGTCTGTAATGAGGAGGAGGAGGAGGAGGAGGAGGAGGAGAGGTACGCGGACGTCTAATACACAGAACAGGTTCAGATAAGGAAAAGTTCTGATGATCTCGGGGCGTCTCAGGGACCCCGGACTACTGTAACAAGCCATACGGAATCTTCACACCCCGGTGGCTACGGCTCTTCAGGATGAAAGTCCTCCATCAGGGATGTGTCAGGGTCCTCAGAGTCCCCTAACCTTGCAGGTCCGTCAGATTGTGAAGGGGAAGGCTTAGGGGTACATGTATGGGATCTGTGTTCTGAGAACTGGCCTCAGGATAAG